AGGGCCGTGGTAGATCTTTGTAGATCGTTGTAGGGTCGTTGTAGATAGTTGTAGGCTCGTTGTAGGTGGTTGTAGGCTCGTTGTAGGTGGTTGTAGATCGTTGTAGGCTCGTTGTAGGTGGTTGTAGGTGGTTGTAGGTGGTTGTAGATCGTTGTAGGTGGTTGTAGATGGTTGTAGGTCGTTGTAGGTCGTTCCTTACTTTAGTACTTACGGGTCAGAAAGACGCGTCCTTTCGAAGGTTCTTCCAAATTAATAAAGTTTATGTAAATTAACATGATTTTTTATCACATATAAAACCACGACACGCTTATGATTTTTCTTTGTGTTTTGCTCCTGAATTATTAATGAGTTTTTCAAATATATATATATATATATATATATATATATATATATATATATATATATATATATATATATATATATATATATATGACAAATGCGAGTACTCTGCTCAGCTGGAACTTCAAACGGTGATCCGACCGGAACGGTGATACAACCGAAGCGAGAATCGAACCTTTAGTCGAATTGTTTGACCTTCTTTATTTATTTTGGTTAGGTACGACCAGAACGAAGACATGCAATTCACATAGTATATTGTAAGAAACAATCTCTTACCTTCTTGCGGCCTTCAGTAAGAATGAAAACGACTATTTCTATCACTGTCGTCGCTATAAAAAGTGAAAGTGTCCACTGTATCATCTATAATGCATTATAGAGTAAAGTTTGTTCAACCGCTCTTTTCACTGGTTACATTTTGTGGTCGCCACTTTAGTTACATAATATCTTTAAACCAATCACAGGCCTCTCACGAGTACCACAACTGATGACATGCGTTGTTTTGTAAAACCATGCACAGGTTGAATGGCATGTGCATACATATCTATTTTTACTGCATTTCAAAGTCTTAAACATTTTGATACCAATCTAGTTCTCGACATGCCCCTAATTGCTTATTTTACGATTCAACTGTAAATAATGTAAATTATCTCGGCGAGTATTTACCCCCCCCCCCTTTAAAACGAAGAAATGCTCACGAAATCATATTCTTTTAAGGAGCTTGTCCTACATTTTATAGAAATGTTGAAAGATAGATAGATATAGATAGATAGATAGAATCTTTATTTAACGAGGGTAGACACGAAATAGCTAAACAGCTAATAAACTTGTGGCCCTCTACAACGTCTGTGAACAGGCTAGTGGCCCCCAGACTAACTAAAATTAAAATATCAATAGAATGAAGTTCATAAAATAGTAAAAACCAATACCTATTAATTCTATATTTACAATGATGATGCTTATATATAAATTACACAATAAAATGATTTAAAAATTTTTGATGCTCAAAAATGCTATTCCACATTTTGCTTTTAAAAACTTTCAAAGAAACATTTTCCCTCAGCTCCAAAGGTAGAGCGTTCCATAATTTAGCACCAGTTACAACGAATGATCTTCCTCCGTCAGTTTCTCGTTTATACTTTGGACAAATAATGTTGCTGTTCGAATATCTTGTATTCCGAGAGTGCCTTTGACTGTTAACAACAATATTATCTTCTAAATAACTAGGCAGTCCACCGTGTATGCGTTTATGCATGATTGCACATTTATTATAATCCTACTCTCCTTATAGAAAGGTATCCAACCTAGTGAATTGAAGAGTGCAACTGAAGATGCGCGGGGTTCAGCCGATAGAATTACTCTCGCCGCACGTTTTTATAGCTTCAGTACTCTGTTTAATTTTAATAGAGAGTTTGAGCAAGACAACGAAGTACGAAGACATACTTGACAATTTTTGCCGTCTGCACATTATCTTGTGCATACTGTGTTGGACGTCACTGGTGGTTGCTCAACGTGTCTTCCCATGTGTCGCTGTTTATGAATACTGACCTGATAATTCTTGCCCTGATCCAGAAAAAAACAGCGAGACATGAAACTATATCCCGTCTTTGTCCTTGTGCCTTCGTGCAGAACGAAGTTCACAACGAATTTTGCCAAAATATTCGTTGCGAACGAAGGCAGAGAAACGAAGACGGGATATGGATTCTTGTCTCGCTGTTTTATCCTGATCAGAGTAAGGATTTGGTTCAGCATTCACAAACAGACATGAATCCCCAACCTATCTTAACTCCTGACCCTAAACTTAGAATGCGCAAGATAATGTTCAAAACAGGCAAAAATTGTCAACACGTCGTCGTCGTCCGACTTCGTTCTCTTACTCAAACTCTCTAATGAGTCTTTATTACAGGCTGTCCATACTACGTTGGCATAGTTGAATATCGGGTGGATAATAGCCTGCGTAGCAGGCGGTATTCGCGAGCACGAGAGAATGGGAAGCTTGAAATACCGCCTGCCCAAAAACTACACATTCTGAGTTCTCCCCGGCAGCTGGGTGCCGGAGCATTCTGATTGGTAGCCTGCGTAGCAGGCGGTATCTGATTGGTCAGAATGTTGATTTTGAATTTTTGATTGACAGGAGTACAGAATTAGAATAATTAGTGCTAATTTTAGAAGTTACTGTTGCCGTATTTATAATATAAACTATTGTTATTTTCGTAATTCCACCGATATATCGAGTGATGGCATACACTAACCAAAAGATAACGAATGTATTAAGGCCAAATAAAAAAAAATACCTGGTTAGCGTCACACTCTCACAAATTTTCAGAGGCGGGCGGGCGGATTTTTTTTTAAATTTTTACTCGTTTTTTAATTTTTTAATAGTATTTTTGGAGGGGATGGGGGCGGTTTTTCCACCATATCGGTGATATTTTTTGTACTGATGTTGCGACGGCCGCCATTTTGCTTTAAGAACTTGTATACCCAAGCCTACGCGCTCCTATCGATCAGTATATAGCGCAAAGGTCTGAGCATGAGAAAAATTTCAAATATTAAACTGTTTTAAGCTGTAAAACGAAGAGATTTACATAAAAAAAAATAAAAAAAAATAAAAAAAAATTCAGAGGCGGCAGAAAATCGAGAGGCGGGCGGTGACGCTAACCAAGTATTTTTTTTTATTTGGCCTAATTTAGAATTAAGCGTTGAATTCTTTAATCTTTATCTGGAATCGGAAATCGCTTCGTCTTGAAGAATGAACAACGAATATCAATCCAACATTTGTTGCTTGAAGATGTGATACCGTGATAAAAGTGCAGATTTGAAGATACAGGTTCGTAAATGACACTCTAAGTCGTGTTTTTGATAGCAATTGGAACAAGCCTATTACAAAGTTACGTCTGAAGGGGCCGAAGTTGTGTTCGGCGAAAGGTATGGCTAGTCTATATTTTTGTTCAGACAATTGCGTAATTTGATAATACACGAACTCGCTTGATTTTCAAAGCTCATAAATCGCTATAATGTTGACATCGACTAAAACTATCGCTATGAATGAGGACATATTGTTACACTGAATCGAACGTGGTATTTTTGTCTTCATAGCATTGAATGAACCGAAGATATGAAACGTCAAAGCCGTATATTTGCACTGGTGTAAATACGTGAGTTTGGCAAATAATTAAAATAAATACATTACTGTAAGATGGGCGGGACCATGCGGTGGGCGGAACTCAGAATGTGTAGTTTTCGGGCAGGCGGTATTTCTAGCTTCTACCGCCTGCTACGCAGGCTAGGTGGATAATTGCATTATAATAGAACACTCTTTGCTTCAGTGGTAGGTAACTTCTTAGTTTCCTAAGAATTCCTATACGTTTGGAAAGTTTCTTACATATCTTATCAATGTGTTCATTAAAACATAATTTGCTATCAATATCTAATCCTATATAATAATGTAGTACTGTTTGTGTTCTTTAGGATCTTATCTCCGTCTATCATGACACTGAGTTCATCCGCAACCTTAACTTTAAATGCCAATCTATTCCCAGTTATTATCATCACTTTTGTCTTTTCTTCATTCAAGGGAAGTTTATTTGTGTTGGGCCAATGATGTATTTCATTAACAGATTTACTTAGATCTGTGTTCAGCTGTGCAATTTCCTTGAAATCAGCTGACGCGGTAACCGTCGTATCGTCAGCATAAAGATCAATATCGGAGGTGACGTGTAGCGGAAGGTCATTTATAAACAGCATGAAGAATAATGGTCCAAGGATAGAACCCTGAGGAACGCCGTGATGCATGTAGGCTGTAGATGATTCTTCACCATTAATTCAAACTGACCAGTTGGGTTCTACTCGATAAATAAGACTCATACCATCCATATTCTAAGCCAACTACGCCATACATTTTTGTAATAAGAGTTCATATGGTCCACCATGTCAAACGCCTTGCAATAGTCAACCAATACCATACCATTTATCCTGTTGTTATCTAGGTTAAGAAGCAATTCATCAATAATCCTTACGAGAGCTGTCTCAGTGCTGTGGCGTTTGCGAAAACCAGACTGCCTTGGAAAGATCAGGTTGAATACACTGAGAAAGGCATATAAACTGTCGTGAATGTGTCTTTCGATAATATTAGATAAAATAGGCAGAATGGATTTCGGGCGATAGTTTGAGATATTACTTGAATTGCCACTCTTGAATAATGGCATGACTTTCGCTGTCTTCCATCGTTGAGGGAAAATCCTAGTAAAAATTGAATAATTGATTAATCTTGTGATATTTGGCGCGATTACAGGAGCAGCAGTTATTAACAAACGAGCACTTATTTTATCAATTCCTGCTGCTTTATGTTGATTGATACCCTTCAATGCATTAAGCACCTGTGTATCTGTCATCGCAGGGATAGTAAATAAAACATCGGGACTTTTTTGGAATTGACATAGTTCCGCAACTTGGAAAGATCAGGGGCGACATTGGGTAACACACTTCTCAATTAGACCGCAATGGTGGAGAAATGCAAGTTAAATTTGTTCGCCATCTCAAAGGAATCATTTATCACAATACCATCAACTTTTAAATTTTTCACTTCACTAACTTTCTTGTTCGTCCCAGTTAACGACTTATTGTTTTCCAAATTGTTTTGGGATTATTCTTGAATGATTATCCTTAGTTCTTATGATTATGATATCCTCAGTCCTTGGCTGAAAATGCAAAAAATTAGAGCAACTGAAGAGATGTTGCTTGTTAGAAATTAAAGTGTACGCCATATATACAGCAACAATCAAACAGTTGGAAATTGTCACAAAAGTGACGTCACCAGTGTTGTTATGCGGCAACAATAACGATTCAAGATAGCCAATATTTTGGCTTTTGACGCATTTTGCTTTAAAAAACGCCTTGTTACCCCCATTTTTTATTTCAGAGAACCATTTCTTGTAGTACAATAAATTAACTATCTGATATTTGGTGTAAGGACGTATCAAGCCTATACTCCGAAAAGTTCTGAGCCCTAAAGCCCCTGTTTAAATGGATCCAACATTGTTGGGCCAACATCATCCAACATTGTTGAAATAATGGCTCAAACGGCTTTTTTCAAATATTTTTGTCAAGACTAGGTTTAGAGTTTAAGTAAAGCTTATCTAACCAAAAAGATTTGAAAGAGAAGCAGTCATATCTATTATAGTAACATTGTTGGATGATGTTGGTCAACAATGTTGGATCCGTTTAAACAGGCCTTAACGGGAATCGAACCACGTAACCTTCTGCTAACCGGGCAGACGAGCAACCATTGAGCTATAAGGTCTCCGATGGCATAGCGAACCAAGGTTACGTAACCTTGGTACGCCATCTGACACCTTATAAGGTCACAGATGGCGAACCAAGGTTACGTTACGTTGGGCGAGCCAAGGTTACGTAACCTACGTAAGGTTGTCCGCGAGCAATGCGGAAAAGTAGAATACAAGCGCGAAAGACTTGTTGGGAATCGCGCTCGTATTCGTTCCGCTTTGCTTGGGGACAACCTCAATTGAAATAGCTGTGTAACAATGGGCCTTAAAGCACAGTTGTGCGCTAAAACTCACCTGGACTATGTGAATGCTCACTTCTTCCTCTTGATAAAATCGCCTCAGTCCTTGGCTGAAAGTTAACAGAGTCCCTCCTTTTTTCTTACCATTTGCGTAAACATTAACATTATTTTACAATTTGTTTTTGAGGTTTTTCCTTTGGCGATGCTACGCTGAAGAAACCGCTGTAAGCAAGCTTGCTTAATTTGTTTTTGTCTTTATCGCGTCCTTGCTATCCAATTATCCCATAATTTTATCGCTTATTTCCGGCTCGACTTCTGTTGTCCACCTACTGCTTCCGCCATGTTGGCCGCCGATGAAATTACACAACGGACTTGGTACGAGCGGGCCATTCAAAGTAGTCGCGATGAACTATACTATGATATGCACCATAAATATGCACCATAATATGCACCATAAATATGCACCATACTCTTGAATATAGCGCATATAAGATTTCCGTTTTTATATCAATTTTTAGAATAAGTTAGGGTTAGGTTAGGGTTTAGGTTAGGTTTAGTATTAGGGTTTAGTTTTGCGTTAGGATAGTTTTTTTTCTACGTTATAAAAACGGAAACCTTATTTTGAAGTATACTATCTAGCAACCACCTATAGCGCATACTCTTGAATTACACCCCTAACAATTTTCAGACTGAAGTATTACGAAGACATTGTATTAACATGCTTCGATAGAATAATTTTGCCTAGCAACAGTGCTCAACTTCTGGGAAATAGCAGATCTCTAATTTTAATAGTCGTCTAACCCAGAGCCTATAATTTTCAACGAGTGACCAATTGAAAATGGCTCTGGGGACGAGAATGGGACTAGATATGTATACTATACAACCTTTTGAGGCTGTCAGTGTTAAATATTTATCTCCATACTCATATATGAACAAATTACTTTAACGCTAGCTTGTTTGTGCGATTTCCCTTAGTAACTGATTGTGAAGGAAAGACACCAGTTCGCTGCTGCGCTCATTCGCTCGTCACTCGTTCGTTCACAACTCATAAATATATTCACATAATTTCTAAGTATCTACATTCAATTTAAAAGTGCCTATACCAAACGTTCATATGTGAACACTAATAACACTTTATAACTCAATAACATTTTTGTACAATTTTTTTAGGCCAAATCAAATCATATAGTGAGACTCAAGCCCAAAAAGTGAAGCCAGCTTCACGCTAACCGCGCTGACAAAAACTGGAACTGACTTCCAATAGCTCTTAAGTTTTTGCCATCTTGGCAAGGAGTGTGGTGAAATTTTGTATTTTTACATCGATTTAAAGAATAACGCTATGGTTTTATGAACTGATAACTTGGTTAGCGATATTGTCCGTGAGAAAAAAACTGGAATTAGCTGGGGAAAATGGTATAAAATCTGTTAACGAGCTTCAGAGCTACTGGACGTCAATGGCCGTCATATTGGCTTCATTTTTCTTATAGGCCGAATGACTGAAGTTCTTGCAACAAATATATATGGAGATCACTGAAAATGCATTAGATTTGACACATGATAAGTTCGTGTCCGTTCAAACTAAATACAATACGCACGGCTGTCTGTCGAACTTATAACAATAGTGTCAAACTTCAACGCCGCGTTTCTCCTGAGCCAAACACTTCGAATTAGATTCGGCTCATTACAAGCGCGACGTTTGAACTACAATCCTGGACAAAACCATCTGCGTCACTCTTACTATTAAAACATTTCTTTCTGGCGTTTTATACCAGTTAGACAGGAATAATTTACTC